ATTATTATTATTATTATTATTATTATTATTATTATTATTATTATTATTATTACTTATTATTATTATTATTATTATTATTATTATTATTATTATTATTATTATTATTATTATTATTATTATTATTATTATTATTATTATTATTATTATTATTATTATTATTATTATTATTATTATTATTATTATTATTATTATTATTATTATTATTATTATTATTATTATTATTAATTATTATTATTATTAATCAACATACATTACTACGATATTCGTTTTTATCCATTCCATTCTTCTGACATTCTCAAAAATTAATTAATGTTTGAAGTTGCTTCATTACAATCAATATCTCTATCTGTAAAAAGCAAATATATCCCTTCATTGTTGCTTCAATCGACAATAAATCAAAAATATTTTAAGCCACTTTTTTGGATAATTTTTTTTACGCCTTATCACCTTATCATTATTTTATTTATCATTTCTTATCATTCATGCTTATATGAATTAAATCGTTTTTATGTGTATGATTCTTTTCTTTCTTTTGCCTTTTTTCCTTTTTTTTTCTTTGTTAATTTATAAATAAATTTAATTATTTTCAGTTTTTCCAAAAATAAATTTTTTTTTAATCTTCATTTAATGCTATTTTTTTTTTTGTTTGCCTTTTTTTCCAATAGCAAAATGAAAAAATAACATTTGTAAACAATTATTTGTTTACAATTTCTATAAATCATTAATTTTAATGCATACATTTGTTTGTTTAAATTTCAATCAATTGATTCCTTAACATTGTAATTATTCCATTTATAGCTAAAAATCCATTCAGCTTCTGTCATTCATTGAAGAGTTAGTTGTTTACGAAATGAATTAGGATAATTGGTTTGATTGAATGTGATGCAAAAATGACAATCCAATTCGTCACATCTAGACTAGCCTATAGTTTGCTAGGCTAATCTATAATTTGCTAACTTAGCTCTATGATTTTATTAGACTAATCTATGATTTTTCAGATCAATCTATAGTTTCAATTATCATTCACAATTATTTAAATTAATTTAATATTACAGAAATGATTAAAATTAACACCAACATTGTGTTATTATTTTAATCACTCTCATCAAAGTTTGTATGTTTTAGTAAAATACTTAATTATCTCACATATGCAAAAATGTTATTCATTCTTTTCAAAAATTTGATCAGATTTTGATAAAATTAAAAGTGAGAAAATTTGATGAAAGATTAGAATTGATAAAAAGAAATGTATGTGAATTATTTTAATCATTCAAATTTTATCATATCCTGATAAAGTTTGATGAAATAGTAAAATTTTAATAAATGATTAAGATTGATAAAAGAAAGTGGATTGGATGAATGAATGAACGAAATGAAATGAATGGATGAATGAATGAAAAAAAGGAAGTATTAATTGCTAGCTACATTTTTAAGAAAACTTTTTTCGGCTAATTTTTTCAACATTTTTTTTCTCCAATTTGAATAAAAAAAATTGTTCTGTTTTTATGTTTTATGAATTTTTCTCTTACTCTAATTGTCTCCTTCCTTTTTTCC